TTTTACCTCGAACATCAACACTAAAGATTTATAAAAATTTTGGGGAAAATAATAAAAAAAAAGTTTTCCCTAATATCTACGAAAAAACTGAATATCATAGAAAAATATTAATAAAAAACTAAGATAATAACTGATAAAATCACAAAAACATAACCTTCTCAGTTAATTGTAAAGTCTGCACTTAAAGCGTATTTTGTAATTTAATGAAATAATCATATTTTATAAATATCCATAAATGGTAGAATATTTAAAAAACATTTACAATAAAATAATATAGTTTAAGATAGTCTAAATTCAGATGGTATCAAAAGTGTTTAAGAAATTCAAATTGTTCACTCCGCAAATTTTATAAAGTAAAAAGAGTACTATTTGGTAATTTTGGAACATTTTGCTTAACTTTTTGGGGTTGCCTCTACAAAGTTGCTTTTGTTAAAATAAATAATTACTTTTATACTAAAAAAGGAGATTTATAAACTTATTAATATAGTTTTTTCTCAATTATATACAATCTATGTCATAGAAAAAAATGTTCTTCACTAATTTTAATTTTTCTGAAAATTTAAAAAATTTAATCAACATAAAAATGTTATTGAATACACACAATGTTGGTTAAGAAGACTGTACATTTAATTGAAATTTAAATAATTCAGTGTCAATAAAATTATGAAGAACATTTAAGGAATTTCAAATTTGTTCCCTATGAAAAAAATTATTTAATAGTACTAAAATTTTGAAAGCTTATTTCTAATTATGAAGATTTATGATGTTAATTTAGCTGATATGAGTATTTTAAAATTTTTTAAATCTAATTAACATTTCATTCAATATGAGTTTCTGTTTTATGTCCATACAAAGTAATTACAGTAATTCTATCATTTTTCTCAGCTAAATATAGAGCTTTTCCCCTTTATGCTTTAAGCAGTATTAAATGTTACTTTGTTTTTTATATCATACTCAGTAATTTTACAGCGTGTGGATTCTGCATATAGATAAACCTTTTTTGTGAATTAACTTTGAATAGTATTGTTATTTGTGTTTATTTTAACTAAATTTGTTTTTACCGCGATGTCTAAAGTCAAGAAATCTGAATCAGATAGTCCTTGTGTGTTACTGATAATGCTTAAATCACTTATATTCAACTCAGGAACAGCATCGATACTAGCAACAGCTTCAGGGTTTGTCCAAGTAAAGCATTTAAGGTATAAAAGCTGACCGGGTGTTAACTGTTTCTCAGGTGGCACTTTCGGTGGTATTGGCGATGGTACCCTTGACCGATGTGGTAACACTTTTTGTGGTTGGCGAATTTGATCGGTAACAGCACTTGCAAATATCTTTTTACTTCTTTGTTCAGTACTTTTTATTGCATTGTATTCAATCCTCATGGCTCTATGCTTGAGCATGTTGTTCTTTTCTGTTATGCTGACAACCCGTTTGGCCTCTTTCAGTATGTGTGATGGCATATCTTCTAACTGTTCAATCACGCCATCTAAGGCCATAATTAATGCCATCACTAAATTATATGGTCCACGTAAACTTTTTTTGTAATTGAGCGTTTTGTAAATACTCTCCGACATGGATTCAATATTTATCATACTTTCGCTCATAAACACTGCTCTCAGAGGCTCCCAGCCTATATTGTCCTCTGAATGCTTTGTCTTAGTTGCAATTTTGAATCGATTTCTGATTGAATCAATCTCCTCTTTGAGCCTGCCAGCTGTGATACGATCATTGGTTGGTTCAACTTCTCCCGCATCCACTAAGTGTTTCATCCAAGTGACGTATGATTCTGCATGCAAGGTTTGTAATTCGAGGTTCTGCATTTTTTCAATAAATTCTCCTATGTCTGTCCAATACATTTTAGTTGGAATAGCATTAGACTGAATCGTACTCTGCTCGCTAAAAGTTGACAGGTCGATTCCCGATTTTACTGAAAAGTATTCTTCATCATTGTCTGAGGTGTTCATCATTTTTTTCCATTCTGGTGGGCTCATCCACGTCAAAAAGTTACGGCATGCTTCAGGAATTACCTGTCTCTTGCTTAACGAGTACATCTTCATATGCAAATTACCTTCAGTTTTAACACAGTCAGCCAGTTCAGATGACAATTGACCCGTGGCACTTACTGCAGCATCGTATTGTCGTTGTCCTTTATTTTTTGTATTAAATGACCATTCAACAAATTCTGCAAAAGTATTTTTGGCTTCTTGGAGTTCCATGAGTCTTTTTTTAGCGCAATTCGTTTCTCTACTCACGGTAGTTTTTATGTCCCAATACGCATCCACGATAAATCCCAGCAAAACATTGGTCTTCAAGATCTTTTTGTAAACCGCTGGAGTTATTGGCTCTTCCACGGGTACTGCTCCTACACGAGCTGCTGCTTTTACTACTTCGTCTTCATCTTCAAATGAATCATACGATTTAGGTCTGACATCTTTTTTTTTATTTGCTTTTTGTTTCACAGGACATACACGACACTCGACTGAGAGACTTTTGCTGATTTCAGATTTTCTTTCTAAAATAGGAGATACCTTCTGTTTTTTTTTCAGACATTTTTCATTATCTATCTTATCTATGTCTATAATTAACTGTCTTAGCTTATAATTCTCCACTGGTATTTGTATATCTGGTATAATCTGGTTATCAAGAGTCAACAATGCTACGGTGTTATCATTTTCGTGCATGTCGTTACTGAATATTAGCAATAACTCTATTAGGTATTTATTAATATTAAGTGATATTAATATCTATATTCTAAACCTTTTCAAGGATGTTCATCGATGTTGTAGCTTAAACAACTGCACTTTCAAAATTCATTAAAAACCTTTACCTATTAGCCAGTAAAAGACAAATATTTATTGGAATAAATGGTTTTTGAACTATAACAAATTTGTATAATATGTAAGCTCAATTAAAAAGTACTCAATTGGTATCGAAAAAAACAATGTCATATATTAGTTAACTGTTGAGAATTTGAAAAATAATGTAGTTATCAATGCTAATATTTTTTATAATTAACTAAGACTCTTTAGCAATGTAAAACATTTGTCAGTAGTTTCAATTTTTTAAGCTGTTAAAATAATTTTGATAATAATTATAGGTTAGACATTAGATTAATGTTACTCTGAACAATAAACATTTAAGAACATGAAAATTTATTAATTTTAATACAAATTTAGCATATTAAATCGTTGAAAATTTTCGACTAACAAAATGATATGACACAAATTTATGTCAAATATCTTTTAGCCAGTTAACATTTAAATTATTAAGATAATAATATTTTAAAATACCATTAATTATATACTAAACTTTAAATCAAATTGCCAAAACTCATCAACTTTTGACTAATATTTAAAAATATGTCATTAAAAAATCAAATAAAAAATAAGTTACGTAAGTAAATACGATTATATATGAATACATCTAATAATCAAGAATTTGTAAGCTAATTATGTGAATGCGAACGTATTATTAAAAATAATAATTAAAATATTACAGCTAATATATATCTAAGTTAAAAGTTAAATAGACTAAGTAGAACTGTTTTTATAGAAAATATTATCAATTAGGCAAAAATTAAACAGCGATAGAAGCAATAAAAAATCAGAAAAGTGAAAAATTTAACTATAAATTTTATTAATTTCAATATTTTTTGTATTTTTAAATATTGTGATTTATTATACCGATAGTTACAATAAGAGTTAAATATAATCAAAGTGTTAATATATAATATACGTTTAAGAAGGTTGAAACATCAAAAATTTAAGTTATGTAAAATTTTTTTTTTGCTTAAAATGTTTGCATATTATAACATTTTTATTGGTCATTCAACTGTATCAAAAGATAAAATAATACACTCTTACATAAAAAAAGATAAAGTCTTTATATGGGTGGGTTTTAATTATTTTAAAGAAATCACGTGGCTTACGTTAAAGAATCTCACGTTGTTTTTTTACTTATGTTGTATAATAGATTTAAACAATATTTCGTTAGTTTTTAGCTTTGATATAATGCTGAGAAGGTATTGGTTTTGTAATGGTGTTCCTTTTTTTTATGCCTCACTGGACAGATTTTATTGGTAAATGCGTCCAAAAAACCAAACTTTAATGTAGTATAACTTATCAGTACCAAAAATTTTAACAAAAAACCCTCAATTTTAGAAGTTAAACTATACTGTATGACTGATATAATTTATCTTTTAAAAGAAATTTTTCTAAATTTATTCCAAAGAAATTTCAACAGAATAAAATAGATACAATAAGCTTTCTTTTGGTATTGTTAGTATGAAAAAACTTATTATCATTACATATTCCAAATTATATGTAATACACTAGACATAAACATTGGAATCGGTTTTCTTGTACTATATAAGGTGTTCAGTAAGTAATGAAACGGGTTTCTTTTGTTCCCATTATTTGTAATAATTGACCTGTTTCCTCACTTGCTGAACACCCTGTATAAAATGAAACAAATTAACTTAAGATATTATTAGACACCGGAGCGTTACCTTAATGTGTCACCAAAAAAAAAACACTAATTATAACCTACCTATTCTTTTCAATTACTTTAGTTTTGTCTCTAATCTAGTCTCAGGAACAAGCATTGTATTTTTTTACATTTGTAAATAAATCATGTTTCCATTCAACAATGGTATGTAGGTCATATACAACCACTGTACAGGTCACTTCATTATTATTCTTGTTTGTCGATTATATTTTATAATATTGCCTTATAAGTTTAAAAAAAACAAATCATCCATACTGGAAGATATGTAAACTGTTGTTCTCACAAGACAATTCTGTATTCTTACCAATTAAATATAAAGCGTATAAATCCTTAAGGCATAGTAGAAATAAAATAGGAAAAGGATAAGAAAATTAAACGCAAGAAATCATAGTGCGTGTAATTTATGCACTAACAAATTAATAAGACAGCCAATTAATTACAAAAAAAAAAAAAACATAAACACGTCGAATTGATTTGTTTTCATTGTATTATATTTTATTATTTTATACGCGGTGAAATTTATAACACCATAAAAAATAATAATTATTATTAAAACACAACAGAACTGTTAAATAATTGTGATAATACATTGGTTTTTATTTTTAAATACTAAAACTATAATATATAATATATAATAATAATAATAATAATAATAATTACACCACGACCAGTGCGCGATTGCAATCTATTGTATACACACATACATTACACTCACACAACATAGTAATAAAATATTTAATATCCATAAAGTCAAATTTGTCTGTACATAAAAATATGTATAATATATATATATTATACACAACGTTGTAAAAATTAATGACTAGAAGATGAACATTTTAGATTAAAATAATAATAAATAGAACAACCGAAAACGCCGTTTTCCTATAATGTGTGTATACAAATGTTTATGCATAGGCTTAGGTTCATTTAAAAATACATTACAAACCTTATCCTTAAAAAACTACTAAAATCTCAGTCTACAGTGTATTTTTATCTCTATTCATTAATAATAATATTTTCTATTCACATTTGTTCATGATAAAGTTTTACGATTATTGTACACGTTGAATATCAAGACATATTGTCAAAATCAATAACAGTTTTTTATGTAGTCGACATCAACTAAGCTACTTTTAAGATTTATATTTAGTTGCAATGTTCAAAACATGATGTTCGTACAAACGATTTTTGATATGAAAATATATGATCGTGTACTCAAAAACAATAATTTAAAAATAATAATTTGATCCTTTAAACATATTTACAATAAAACAAAAATATGTATACCACACGTTAAAACTCAAGGCCAGTATTTAGAGAACATTAAAGAATTTTTTTTGTTTAAAACAAATGTAAGTAATGGAAAAATTGCAAACAAGTCTCTTTTTTTATCTCGCGATTTAAGACACTGACGAAGCTTGTTGCTGTTGCTGCTGCTGCTGCTGTTGTTGTTGTTGTTGTTGTTGGTGCAACATTTCTTCCATTTCATCGTCGGACATTGCAATAGTAGTGTGATTGTACAGACCTTGGGCCATCAGTTGCAGAGCTAACGGGTTTTTGGAGCCGCTGGACTTTTTGATTTTCGCCCTTTTGTTTTGGAACCAAATTTTGATCTGTGCCTCGTTTAGACCCAGTTCGTTGGCAAGTTCTTGCCTCCTTCTCTCGGTCAGGTATCGATTCTCGTTAAATTCTTTCTTCAGTCTAGCCAATTGGTCTCCGCTAAACGCCGTCCTTGGCCGCTTCTCTTCGGCAACCTTGTCTTTGCGTTTCATTCGTCGCGATCTAGGACCTGTAGAGCGAAAAAAAAAATGATCTTAGTACTTATATAATATCTACACCAAGCGACAATTACAGTAAATGAAGAAATCAGTAATTCTCAGAAAATTATCACGAGGCGACTAGCCCTTTTGTGTACCATACGTTATAATTAACTATTATAATCATATGGCGTGTATTGGAAAATAGGCCGATGCGCATCCGGTGCGCGTCCCAAGCGATAAAAAATAGATCCGACGAGTAGTAATTATTACCCCTGGGTCTGTTTTTGTGACCCGCCATCCAATCTCCTGTTAGGTTTTTTATTTTTTTTTTTTTTAAGAATACCGGTTCTTCGGGCAAAAGCGTGTACGGCGGTGGCGACGACGGATACGGCAGTATTATGCGGTAGGGGCGGAGCAATGAGATTTCTACCCTACGCCATCCTCACGCATGTTACAACGTTATGTATTCATTGCCCTGTGGCTGGAACGATATTGCGGCAATGGTGTAACCAGTATGACGGAGCCCCGGGGGGGGTTCAGGTATGGAGAGACCTCAACGGCACACGGGCAGCACAACGTGCGCAGTCTGTGTCGAATTGAGAAATGCAGCGTAACAGAGAAATTTCAACTCAAGGTCCGTCCGTTAAAGATTAAACAAAGTCGAACGCAATTACTGTTTTAGTGGATGGTGGGAAAAATCAAATTAAAAAATAAATAAGAAACGCGACGATTGCGAACGGCGAGACGCGGTCCTATCCCATCGCCGTAATTGAATTAACGTTTGCAATACAAAAAACCTATTAGACACATACTCGCAGCGATTTTTACGGCGCTGAGAAACATTTTTACAAGACGACGACGACGATTTTTTTTTGGCAACACATTTTCGTCTGTCGGACGGTTGTCGTTAATGTTAATCGGACTCAAAAAACAAGTCCAACGCCAACATAATAACATGCGCTAAGTGTGCGCCGAGTTTTGTTTAGTAATGTTGCCGAGTCACCGACTGTGTGACGGATACTACTTCCGTTTCATTAATAAACGTCTCGCGTTTAATATTATTATTATTATTATTTGTATACGAGAAAGGAGTGCATTAGGCAAACGCTTTGTATAATTTGTGTACACGACACACACGGAACGAGGGGAAAATCCGTTTACAAAGCCGCCGCGTTGTTATTGTAATGCGAATCGAAGCTTTTAGCCGGCCGAGTGCCAATACACGAGCTACTGGCAAAAGGGGAGGCGGCGGGGGGGGGGATTTTGTGTATAAATATTAGCCGCGTTTTATTGATAAAGCGTTTCTCGAGTATCATTAGTTTGGGCTGAAACCAAGTGACGACTTCTGACAGCAGGTCGTCTCTCTCATCGACTGAGCACTTAACGACAAAAATCTATTTCTGCCGCCGCGCACAATGTTTACTTCGCGTAACATCGGCAGTTCTGTATACAATTCAACAATGCGTACAAACCACCAGACAGTTGGAAAATAATTAACTCCTACGCAAATTTAAACAATGAAATAAACACGTCGTGTTACCTTTTCGATTTTTCCAGTCTTTTCTCGTTCTGCTCGACCGTCAAAATATTCACAATACCATCGGAGATATTTTCTCATTAAAATAATAATATACAACGTCATTACTATTAATAAGGTCTATCACGGTGTTTTATTTTTTATTTTATGTAATAACAATCAATCATTTTGTTAGCTCCAAGAGTAACCAATCGCGAATCCTTGACCCGCCCAGTGTTATATTCGTTTAATCAGCGTTATCAAATTAATTAATTAATTATTTTTTTTACAGGAAATTTCAATAACTACAATGTCTTTTGTTACGCTTCGTCCATATTTAATTTAACTGCAAAGTTACCGTGAATGTTATTACATTGTTGTCTCTTTACTGCAACGATTTGTCTGTCGCTCTTGTATATATGCGCCACAACATTATCACCCCAACTCTAGTTGAAGGCATGTAATATGTATGCGACATGCAATTAAACCCTTTTATTGACTCTGTTTTCTACACGGTTGTCAACTGTGCGACATACCCTTCGAGACGACATCCAAATTCGAGGGAGAATTAAATCAACCCCTTGTTTTACACTGCCACCAAGTTTAATGTGTATATGTGTGACATTATACAGAGTGATCTAATACGTATGCGGGTCTTTAGTTTTTTTATAACGCTTTCGTGTTTGTTTAACGTGCTCTTTATCAAATAAGTCGATTGGCAAATTATTTTCTAATGAAAATCCTTATTTTTTTTCAATTTGAAATGTAAAAACAATTGAATAATTTTGTTTGTGAAGTGCTCGGGGCCTACGCAAATAAATGGAAATTAATTCTAAAATAATAATTATTACTACTTGTAATTTGTTCAGAAAAAAGATGACACGAGTAGACTTTAGGATTAAAGAAGCGTATCGACGAAATGTTTACTTTTTAAGAGAGTAACATTAAATTTTCGTTTTCCATTTAAACTAACGAACGAAGTTTATATCTCCTTAAGAAAAATACCTTTCGACATAATTAATGGTACATTATTTTCACATGATAAAATATTTTATATTGTTTAAAATGGACTAATAGTGTTAAAACCCCATTTCTAGTTGATACGCTTCTTCAGTTCTAGACGCTCGATTATTAATTGATAGGATGCTTCGTGCAAAAAAAAAAAAATGTAGTTTTTTATGCTCTATAGTAACTATTTGAATGTGTATTTAAAACTTAATGTAATACTATACGAACGTGTCTATGAAATAGTACGCCGTTTATGTAAATTAGTGTTTGCGTTTGATAATAACAGAATATACACAGATACGATATTATTGGCATTATTATCTGCGTTCAAATGGACCGGAGCACATTTTTCTGAGTCGCACGAGACGATGAGCTTAACAATTATTGAGTGCCTGTATTCATTACTGGAATGACATTGAAAATAATATCCCGATCGTTTATTATTGTTTTCTTTTGTGCCATTGGAAATAATCAATTTCAACGACTGCCGTAATGGGCCAAGCGCCGCAGATTATGCGGTTTTTTATTTATCTGGACACGTTTCCCGAGATTACAAACGCCAACACCGCGACCCGCGCACATCGATATCGATCCGTCTTGGAGCTTTGACTTGCCGTTAACCACAATACTTCTTTCACGAAACTACCGAGAACTTACGGTAATACGAAACACACACACAAAGAGCTATTCGTTTTCGGTTTACCGATTGTTCGCGAGGCAAAGCACACGCACACACATGACGCTACAGGGTGTGCGGTCCGTGTGCAGCACTGTATACCCAAACAGTGTCATAAACGCGCAGGACGTTGCTCCGGTAAACGGGGCGTGGCGTGAACCGCCTCGGTTGGTTTGCCCTCGGGACCCCAAAGGAAAAATCACCTGCGTCCTCTCCCCCCGCCGTTCCGTCTCCTTCTAGAACAGTACAGAACTGTGTGTCTCCCTCTGCCCTCCCCTTGACGACCCTTTATCCTATCTCGTGCGTACGATTCAATTCCGTACAAATCGATGGTGGCGGCGTACAACGAGGTAATTTCTTACTCTTCCTCGCTCTTAAGTGTAAACCTATACAACGTTGTACATGAACTGTTGCTGGTACACACAAACCCATGAAAACGGAATAATATTATTGTGTCGGCCGCGTAATGGCGTCGAGTCGATTGACTTGGGGAAATCGATAAGCAGCCGTCGACTCGGCCAGTGCACACCTCGATAAGATTAATGCAATTTATTTGCTCGGCGAGATTTATGTACGAGGCTCACACTTCCGCAATTCATTTGTATGCCACCGAACGTGTGTGGGGGGGGGGCGGCTGCTTTCAAGAAAAACGAGTACAGCGATTGAATAACGTGAAAAGTTTCCCTCGGCAGACACGCCGGCACGGCAAATAACCGTTTTATTGTGTTTGTTAAGCGTAAAACGATTAGCCGTCGTCAAACAGGCATGTTGTGTACATTCAAAGGGCGTGTAAGGAGAGCGTGGGCGGACAAGGGGCTTATCTCCGTGCCGCACACCATGCGAAAGTGTCGCACAGCTTTTGTACACACGTTTACGGTGTTTGTGCATTATAAACGCCCCGGGCCGCAAAGGCCGTTATTATTATTTTGTGCGATATGACATTTCGGTGGGTCGCGTGGCGGCCATTATATCCGCAAAGGGTTTTTTCGTTATCGTCGCAGACGTTTGGTAACGTGTTCGAGTGCATTTTTTTTTTTTTTTTTTTATACGTGGTTACTTTATCGCGAGATAAACTCCGTAAAAAATTGTTAAATAAAACACTCGAGCGCCATTGGTTACTCGGTAATATTGTTATGTACTCACGACACTCGTCTCTGCCACAGAGCCGGCGATCAATCGGGAAATATATTTTTTAATTATCTTTCGTCGACACGAAATAATTATACACTCAACGGAGTAATGGGTGTAGTTATGTTGCGTATAGGACATTATGAGGGAGGAACAGCTGCCGTAATATTATTGCTTTACCCGTATAGTATGAAACTTAAAAAAAACGAAACAAAAAAAATTTTGTACCCGTTTAAAAACGATCACGCGAGTCACACCTCCGTTGAATAGTTCTTGGAATTATTTTTATTAGACACTAAAAAACTATGCACGAGACATAGCGATTTCTTTATCGATTTACATAACCCACTCGGACGAAAATCTATCCGTATCAGATCTGCAGGCGCTAAAACAATTACTTCATCGTTGTTGATTTCTGAAATCGACGCGATGGAAACCTTCACTTTAAGGTAAAACCAAACTCGCACAGATAAATCTTTTTGTCTGAACTCAAGTGGTTGGCCGCATTGATTTTTATTACTTTTGGTCTTACAGTGTGCTAGGCAATCAAATTTTATGCCACGCCGATTCGAGTATTTGTTTGTCACTAAACTTCAATTTTTTATGAACTCGTCAGGTCGGACGGGTTTTAACGACTTTGCCGGGACAGTCATATAACGTCATGTGTCCTACGGAAAATTAAATGACCCTTAAAAAGTTTAACGGCCTACTAAACGAGTGCCTGTATAGGAAACCGAACAACGCGTTACAATTCTATTTTTTTGTCTTCGTTACAATATATGCGTGTGACAAAAAGAAACAAAGCTGTACCTGTTCAAATAAAAACAAAAAACAATTTTCCTAAGTACAAAAATATGCTTATTCTGTCAATTATACTTTTCGTGCGCCGTTTATACAACACAATAAGCGCACGAACACCAATGATAATAATCATAATGATGACACGTCACGATAATGGGAAATATTTTACGTGAACGTTAAATCTATTACAAGATTATATAAGCGGAGACTTCCATAAATCGTTTCGTGGCACTTTAAGCGGTTCCCAATTTGCTAGATAAATAAAACTCGTAGTAATTTATCGATTCGCCATGTGAACATTTGTTGTCGCCTGGAAATTAATTTTTCCGGAAAATAAATCAAACGGAAAAAAAATAAAGCTAAACTATTCTTTGGAAATAATAGTCGCAACAGCCTGACGAGCCAATCAAACAACACAAATACAACGCAACACATCATCACCGTGTTATTATCAGACTTGCCCAATAAATGGTATAAATGGTTTTTCTTATTATGAAAATCATAAAGTTGAAAACCGATCAAGCGGAACAATATGCGTAAAACATTGGAACGCCTGTTAACTTGTTGTACCTGTAAACTGATAGAAAACGCAAGTAATTTTATGGACATTACTATTCGAGTTTGTGCGCGTGCAACCGATGATATACGATTTGGATTGTCATCGCCGTTAAAAAACTGTATAATTAAATATTCAATAATAATAACTCATAGGCGAGTCGATAGATTATCATATTATTGTAATAGATCTCTTACGATTGAGGCGTTAACTTGCAGTTTTACAAATATTCGAATCGTTAAAAAAAAAGAAAAAATGAATTATTGCTGTTTACACCCACAAGTCACAACTGTAATTAATAACCTTGTATTCGATTATGGATTATCGATTATAGGCGGCAATGCGTCTCTATTAAACGGTCAGCGATTTGTTTTGCACAATCTTCAAAAAATAATAGTAATAATAATAACACTCGTTTGGAAAATTAACTACAAGGCAATAAATGTTTATTGGTTAATCCCCAAATATTTCGACAAAGCGTTTGGCAAGTCCACTTTGTAATTCGAATGCAGTTCAGTTAGACGTGTTCTAGCAGTGGGGTTCTTTTTACACGAGTTTTCCTACTGCACCGCTCGCAAAAAAGCAATACGTTAATTTGACCATCGAGAGACAGACTTGAGGATTTCTCGTGTGCGTATGCCCACCGCGTTTCTGTTTCTATACAAATATCATGTCGTACCAACGAATGTCGCGTTCAAATTTATTATCGTCATTATTATTATTTTTTTTACGGTGGGTATGATTTATGCGTTGGGTGTAAATGTATTGTGCGCGCCACAGTAAAAAGCTCCTCGGAGACGTTTACACAATGATATGATTGCATTAGGACGCGCTAATACGGCGCACAATGTCACATCATTGTCATCGTGGCCGTAGTCATTATGTTATTATTGTTGGCCGTATAACACGTGTATGCGCTGACGAGGCAAACGTTCATGACGACCGGCGGAGGCGTCTCCGCGGGGAACAATATTATTATGTGTTTTTTCACGCACAAAGTGTACGTTTTCATATGACAACATTAGGCAGCCCCACAAAGGTTTATTATGTCAATTTTGGCCATAAGGCGCACAAATCGGATCCTCCCCGCGCATACCGTTGTCTCCTCCGGTAACAACGCCGCAATTGTTGAACGCGTATACGGCGTGTACACATGATTCGGCCCTGGGGAGGAGGCAACATCGGCGGTTATTGTTGTTTTTTTATGGGGATGTGTTCGGCCGAACGTCAAGACCGTGGCGGATAAATAAAACGCGTTCATGTATTACAAAGGTATTGTGAAACGTTATAATGCGCGTACAAGCGTTTTGCGGTGTGTTGTGTGTTTGCGGTACACATTATTACTTTGCAAGAGGGTGAAACTGCCGTTGCAGTTGTATTTCTAAGACCCCTGCGAGCGGTAACACACCCCCGACCACGTTAACCACGGTGTGAATATCATCCACAATGTTATTATGTATTGATAAAAACAGCAACGAGGGTTTTTATTATCCTGATAATGTATTATCGCACACTACCGGTTGACGATTTTCAAAATGGCCGCTTCCGAACTGCGTGTGATACTCGGAAAGTACGCAGAAAAACCGCCACGAATATGTCCACATTGCGCGTTTTAATGACTCTTTTAATTTCTTATAATTTATTTATGAGATGCGAGTATCAATTACGGCTTAGTCTGCATCGTTTCTCATTAATTGAAATTTCTTAATCTAGATGTTTGCATGAACTTGTTTACAGTGTATTATTAATTACGAGGCTACGGAGTTGTTCAACGTGTGATGGATTAATAAATCCTACATGCCCCAAAATCGTCTCTACTACAACGTTTTATTCTCGTGGAAACGATTTAGTTGTTCACAAATTATTAACCGACAGAACTCAAAGAATATTTAATAAAAAATAAATATATTTTATTTTACTATTATGAATTGTTTTTAATTAAAATTCATTTCATAGTCTATCAGAATCTACTATCAAATATTATTTAAAGCATTGAGTCGTTCGTGCAGGGCTAAAACATATTAATTATCATAATCTGCACGATGTGGTCAATGCGAACGAATGTGTGACATTACTACAGCAATTATACAACACCATTGTGACTAATTCAATAATGGTTTACTTTACAAACGTATTTTAAACTAAAGCGTTTATGCTGAAAGAGAAAATATGCGAAGGTTGTTCATTTTTCTTAAACGAGACACAGGAGGATTTTTTTTTTTTTTTGAAATCTCCGGGAAATCGTTCTCCGTATGAGTTATTGCCATTCTGTAAACGAAAAATGCGGATTGCAGACAGTCGTTTTGTGAGCATAATAATACAATGTGCGTGTACATATGGCAATTTAAATGGTTTATTGACTAAAACGAGGATAAAAATTACATCAATTTACTTACACAGTCGATTATTGTTGTTATTCCCTCTAAATAAATCTAACAAATACTCACGCAGCAAATCGCGTGCCAAAATCACCAACGACTCAATTTTTTACGGTAGCTGGCATCGAGTTCGACGGTTTATATTTTACTCGAAATATTAAAATGATTAATTTTACCCGTTTTTGCATTATCGTCAAACAATGTACAGTAAACGTTCAGTTTAGAATACTGAAAATAGTTGCGCTCATAACTGATAACAGTCGATATGATTTTATTTGATTAATATTTTAAATAGAAAATTATGTTTGGGAAGTCAATTCATTTTTTTCATTGCATCTAAAATAGTCGGATAACAGTTCGAAAATAATTATACGAGGCTTTCATTTTTTTTTTTTTTTTGTAACAGATTTCTAAACTTAAGTATTTTATAAATTACCACATCAACAAAAAAAAAGTACTAACACAACTAAAAATAGCCAAGTCGATTTTTCGGTGAAATTCTTAGAATTGAGCAATATTTAATGACTGAAAGTACTCACCAGAAGAAGGTCTGTCAGAGTATCTGGTGCAATACACCCAAGCTGGCCACATTTCTTTGTCGGTGCTGGTCGCATCTCCATCGCTGCTGTTGTTGTTGACCAAAATATCTGCAGCTGCTTTTGTCGTCTGCGGAGACGTCGCCGCCGGTGATGTCTGCTGGATAGGTATCGCAATGGGCACCGGCAAAGGTTTTCGCTTGCAAGTCTTGGTATCAGGGGTTGCGTGCGAACGCTTGCTGGATGGCTGTAGAACCGGTAGTGGCGGTGGTGGTTGGGGTAACTTGACATGTTGAACCGTTTGGTTAATGGCCAAAATAGGTTGCGGTGGTGGTGGTGAAGTTGTTGACACCCGGGATCGTCGCTTGCCAGAAGCAGCGGTGATTTTTGTACCGAATTCCGGTCGGAGTATGTTGTCCACGGAAAACGCCAAGTGCAACGGACTCGGTGACCGGGGCGAAGGTGAACGACAGTAGCTACTGGTATTGTAGTTTTTCATTGTGCACGAAGACGATACGTCTGAACCGGAAGTGCTGGTCGGACGCGAACACGCATTCGTCGAGTTGTGATGCATCCCAGAACTGGTAACGTTACCCTGGTGCAGGGGTTGCATTAGACGAGATACGACAGCCGAAGGACCCCCACAGGATTGCATCAAGTCAGCGGGAACAGACCTGTGTAACGAGTCGTGAGATTGAGGAGAACTTTGGAAATAATCTGCGACTCCAACAGCCGATGAAGGCATGCCGACGGTAGGCAGCAAGTTGAACCGATACATCCAATTGTTGAAATGGAACATTGGTGGCACGTGTGCAGCCATAGCAGCAAGAGCCGCGTATTCGGCGGCTGCGACGGGATGGGCGACAGAACTCGGTTGTGGTGATAGTTGTTGCTGTTGATGAACCCATCGGGCCGCTCCGTCGTAGGGCCTGTAAGACGACGGTTTGGTTTTTTTGTAGTTGGCCTGCAACGCGGACGATTTGATGGCCCCGTCTTTGTTTTGCAACGGTGAACATATGCTCAGCGGTTTGTTGGTGACCTCATCTGGACGACCACGACGGTGTCTCGGAGATTGAGGCGACAGCACGCTGTCAGCGTCTTCATTTTCGTCTTCGTCGTCCGGGCGAACAGTGTCCTCTTGCAGTACGGGCCGAAAAGCAGACGATGTCAACGCGGACCGAGGAGAATACTCTCCGGATGACGTCGGTGACGACGACGACAGGCCGTTGGCCATCCGCTCTTTTGTCTGATCGCTGCAGTCGTCAAGACCCGGACGCCGGTTGTTGTCGGTGGGTCCGGGACTTGATGCGTTATTCGGGCTGCACCTTTCTGTTTCCAGGGCCATATTCGATGGCACTAAGTCGAGATCCGTTTGAAATAATAATAATAATAAAAACAAGACACACGGTCGCGAGCAGCNGGTGGGTCCGGGACTTGATGCGTTATTCGGGCTGCACCTTTCTGTTTCCAGGGCCATATTCGATGGCACTAAGTCGAGATCCCGTCGAATTAACAATAATAATAATAATAAAAACAAGACACACGGTCGCGAGCAACGGACAAACGTCAAGCTGTCATAGCGGTGTGCGAGTCGAGTGACACACAAACGTACGGTACAAGGGTGAATCGTCTAAGACAGTTGCACCGGTACGGTCATCATCGGCGATATCATATACGCGTGTTGTCCGAAAAACGGTGACGGTACGATTCCGACAGCGGCGGCGGCACTGGATCTCTATATTAACGCGCGCGCGTGTAATGATATTATCCGATGCGGGCAGCAGACACACTCTGACGCGTACCGGATCGGTGTCGGCGGTCGCCGTCGCCGAAGCCGTTGACTCCGCCTAGACGCACCGACCCCCGCCCGTCCTGGTTACGAGCGCCGGGCCAATGGCCGGGACGGTGGTCCGCCCGGGACACACCCGGCGTGCGACCCAACCGCTATTGGCCCACCGGCGCAGCCGCCGCCGATTGAGCTGTTTATTATTATTGACCGTCGACGACGACTAGGCGGCTGTATGCATTACTCGCTTTAACGCAAAACAATATAATGACGTTTCTCTGTTTCTCTCTCTATTACATTTTATTATTACAACGTCTGCCCATACATCATAATTGTTATTTATATCATTATTGTGTATTTTTACACCGTATAATAATACATGCGTTCTATTGTTATGGCAAGCGCTTTTTTATTTTTCAATCATTCACTTTCATAGATCCACACACTTTAGTGAAAACCAATCGTCAGGCTTACAAAAATAACTCACAGTATACGGGTCACTGATATTCAAAATAATTGTACAGAGTTTCGATGTTCATACGGATAACAGAAAAATATATTTTTAAAGGTTTTCTTGATTTGAAAATATTTAAGGGAAATGCAAAAAACTCACCCTCTACAGTATAAGGCAATTCATAATCCCGATGTCCTAACATATATTAAGACAACATTTATTTTTTACTAGAAATGAGAAGTAGACGTCTTTACGGATCTAGCAGAGCATCTCTCTTGCTCCTCCTGCACTATAACTTTTTTATAGAATAATTTATGTTTAAAAACGCTGACTTTAAACTCTATGCAATAGATTTTTTTCGATATACATCGTTCCTAACAGACTATCATTATTTAATTATTTTAAAATTACGGTTCTTTTTATTTTGCACACACTTTATCATACCGATTGCTTCTGAAAAAGTAAAAAGCGGTAAATTACGTTTAAATAATTAATCATCTTTAAATTTTTATCAGGCGTTTAAGTTTAAAAATACCTATTTTAATGGTCTCTTATAAATTCGATGTACCGTCCACTGGGTATAATTTATTCGGAATTCGAAGTTTTTTTTTTGCGAGTGTCCCTCGAAAATGTTAACCAAAAAGTTTTAGCGAACTCTGTAATTATTATAAATATTAAATCGAAGAATGTATTAATTTTTACAGGCGATACAATTTAAAGGACGACAGTAAACTACCCTAGTAAGCCTTCCGTCTGATAGTCGACTGACTATTAAGTAAAAACATTTAAATTATTAATCTATCCAGGGTAAAACAACTAAATAAATAATAAATAAATAAATCTAAAAAATGACGAATTATTTATTTTTTATATCCACATTGGCCGTCTCTATATTTAAATTCGAAAAAAGTATTATTATATTCGTGTGACATTAAAATATAAAATATTCAATTTCCAATGTGATTTTGATAATAGTCATATAGGCAGATATTAGATAGGTATTTCTTTTTTCTTTTTTTGTCAGGCTATAACCACCGGCCATTGTGGTGCACATAGCAATATCATTATTATTTAATTATTTATAGTTGTTCTTTAGGAAGGTAACGAGGCCATACAATAAATAGATCCGCACACAATTACACGGGTACGATTGAATTAACATGAACATACATTTTTATAGAGACGTATCAACAAGCGATAATCGATCCGACCGTAAAAAAAAAAACAAAATTAATTACTTAAAAATACAACAATGAGCTGAAACACTGTATTATGGACGACACAATAGGAAAATATTTCTTTTCGAGGTACACAATATGTTACCAATATTAGGCACAACGTGTCGAGGCGCATATAGAAATTGTGTTTGGGTTTTTTAAACGCGATGATAATTATTTCATTCGGACGGTCGCCTGTGGTCGCCCACTGCAACCGACAAAGGCTGGCGATGTGTTGAAGATAAACTTTTCACAGAAAAATTAGTCTCGCAATAATTAGAGAAGAAAAACGCGGTAAAGTCGCTCGTACATCTTTTTGTAGGCGCACAAAACAACGTCGATTACTCTTTTTACTTTGCCGTTGCCGCCGACAACAGTAAAAATGATTTATACGCTTTTCCAATTTGTTTAACTAAGCAAATATTACTAAACCCAATCATTCGTAGACCAGACCATTGTTGTTTTTTTTCCGAGCACAATGTTGTATTTAATCAATTTGAGTTTACTAACGACACACGGACTTGTGTGTATCGTCCAACGTGAACCGTATAAAAACTAATGAATAATTCGAATATCACCTCGGGGCACGTTTTTAGTTCAGTCTCTCGGTGTCCGCCGACATTTTTAAATAATTACTTACATCCATTCACTCGTGTGATTAGGTGTATCCGAAATAGGAATTTTGTTAAAATCCACTAATTACGACCACAATCCCCCAGAGAGAAGATGTCGCCATCGTTAATTGCATGAATCGTTAAATCGCCAAATTCGAATCGTTACTCTGCAAAAAAGTATTCATCTTTTATAGAAAATTTGATATTTTTATTTGTTGATCAAAAAACATTCTTCACAAACAATGTCGTGTTGTAAATAATAGAACTTATAGACGATTTTTTACTTCACCAGTTCCAAAATAAAAATATTTAAACAATGTATTTCTAGATTAATTTATAGGAACTATTAAAAGCAGTTCAACTAGTGCACACATGTCTACACCGAACAAATGAACAATAAAGATACCATAACAATATAATTGTATTTAATTCAATATTAATTCCAACCGAAAAAATCGTAACATTTTCCCCGTCAACCCAAATTTGTATAACTAAACATAACGATTATTAAGTGTTTGGTTAAGACTAATTGAACGAAACTTAGGCATTCATTCCCGTAGTATTAATTAATCGGTTTATTAAATCATCAGTATTTTTAATATTAACTAACACTATTTCGTGACTTAAACAAAAGCATCTTTTGTCAAGTATACAAGAGATCGTATTACGTTAATCACAAATTTTTATTGTTTTTTAGATTTTTGGTTCAGTGTAGATTATTGAAACTACCTAGGTGAATTCGTTGTTTACATTTCAAAAGAAAATTAACACAATATTCGTTTTCAAGTCGCAATTATGAGTCACGTGCTAAAAAAGTCAGCCGAAGGAGTAACTTTTTAAACTTATCGACAATCTAATATATTATTATAACAATATTAGTAGGTCCGGAAAAAAAAAATTAGGACTCGGTGAATAATTTGACTGGTCGATGACTACTTTTTGAGTTATTACCATTTTAATGAGCACTACGTGTTTTTTATCAACACGCACTAGTACTCACCGCCCACTCGTCATGTTGAAATACTAATAATAAGTGAAGTTCTAAAGCTCGAAAGCGGTTACGGACCACTCAAATTAACATTGTTATACTTTCAGACATACGTCATATTGACACTGCTGTTTATATTTAGCTCACAAACTTGCGAGTTATGTGAATAGTTTTTTTTTTTTTTTTACCAACATAATTTTAACATAAATTTATATGGTTTGTCTTCTGCATTCAATAGTTCAAACACATCCGGTTTGCAACGTTTAGCTTATATTCCTCAATGCTTTTGAAAAATATAATGTCAGTATGTTCTACGATATCTCTAACATGCTCAACTTGAATGAAGAATTGTATAAATTTCACACGATTGCTTTGAATGGAGCTGGTCCTTCGTGTTAAATTTTGCATTTATTTTCGTCACAGGCTCGCAATTGTTGACTTAAGATTAGATACCATGACGAACAGATGCTTAAAAAACGAGGAGAATTTTCTTCGAAAGTTCATAGCTGCACTTATCACGTTATATCAGTGAGGAGTTTGAGAATACTATACGATATATACCCTACTGATAACACTATCGTTGATTAATGATAGACAAAAAATTCAACGTTTTGTCAAATCAAGTCTTAGTATTCAGTTGTGTGATTATAATAAACTGTAGATACCAAAGTTTACCCGCTGAATAATAATATCGTAGACAAGATTTATATCTTGGTAAGCAAATAAATTATAATTATACAAAGCAATCAATAGTTTTACTTGACAAGTAGTCCTATAATATTAAATTCTTTTACTCTAAAAACTACAATTATTTCAATACCATATTCGCTGATTAGCTTAAATTTGTGTACAGAGTATTTTTGAAACTGCACCAATTGTTTTATCATCAAAATCCAAAATCCATGTACACCACAAAGTGTATTTGGGTTCTGTCAAGGGATGTGTCTACTCCGTGTTTTTGCCGCGATAGTAAAAAATTATAGTCTAATCAAAATAAAACAATTTTAAGATGTTCATTTTTCCATGATCATAACAGTCTCGTTTTTTCTCAGTTTCTACTTGTTAAATTTCGTTCAGTAATATGTCAAAAGACATTAAATCGTTTCTACTAAAACCTATTAAAGTGATAAAAAATTTGACGGAATTTTGGAAAAAAATTCTCTTAAACATAGAATGTCTTCAAAAAATGTTTGGTAGTACCTTAGGTTTTCTCCTCTAATTTACATACTTTTTATGAAAATCTGACCATTTTCCTACTTTCAAAGGGTATAGTTTAACAAGTTTTGCATACAAATTGAATTTATTTAACTTAATTTTTGAAAAGGTTTCAAAAATCTTGCGTATTTTAAATATATATTAAATAAAAGTTTATGTAGTATACTAAAAAGTAAACAAAATTATTTCCATGACTTATCATCAAGATGCCAGTGACAGCCGAAGTAATGAAGAAAAGTACTATAATTCAGTAAAAATACCTTTGATACGTATATTTGTGAATTCGTACTTAATTTTTGTATTAGACTAGTTATTAAGCAGTTTAACAACTAATTAAAAAAGGTCCTAATTTATAGACAAATTTGAAGAGGTACTTGTTCCTAGTTTTAAAGTAATCATTCCAACAAAAACAATAAAATAAGAAAGTTTTAGGTTTTGTAATACAAAATATTATAAGCAAGTGTTTTGGCAACTGCTCCCAAAAGAAATTCATTTTAGCTAACTATGACTTATATAAAA